TATTGAATACCTTGTTACCCCCTCCCTCATTTTTCTCCCAGTTACCCCCCACCACATTACTTACTTCTGACCAGAGCTTTATGCTACTTTTTAAAGTAAAATTTTGTCCCTCAATTGTAAAAAGAGAAGCAGATGATACAGGAAAAGAATCTCAGAGCTCATTATCAGTATTGTTTCAAAAATAATAAAGCAAATATAAGAAGAAAAAAAAGAAGACACAGAAATCTCAATACCCCAGAAAGTAATGCACCAAAATATTTTGGCTATCACATAATTATTGAACTGAAAGAAAGTTAAAATATGTGGAAATACAAGGTATTATTTAAGTAGGGCCCTGTGAATCAAACCTATTTTTCTTAAAAGATATCTGGTAATATTAAATGTTGCTATAAAACTGCCTTTTGCCTTTCACATAGTTTGTAGAAACAAAATATTTCCTGCTAAATGCATTCTAACAAAGTTATTTATAATAGAATAAATTTGGGACATATATAAATGCCCTACAAGCAAGACATTTTTTTTTATTGTCAAGGTGATGTACAGAGGGGTTACAGTTATGTTGAGTAAGGTAGGAAGTACATTTCTTGTCAAATGACAAGCAAGGCATTTGTTAAGCTATCATAAACAGTATAAGAAATATTGTAAAAAAAAAAAAAAGCAGTATGAACGTCCACCATTTCGATAAATGCATGTACATATGACCATAGAAAAAAGCCACAGAAACACAGTCACAGTATTTATGAAGACCAATCAGAAGTTAGAACAACATAATAAAGATTTATGTTTACTAGACTCTCAGTAAGTTGGAATTCCAACACCCCCCTCCCCAGGTCATACGACTTGAACTGAGGGCCTAGGCACTGTCCCTGAGCTTTTGCTGAAGGCTAGCATTCTACCACTTTGAGCCACAATGCCACTTCTGATTTTCTGGGTGTTAACTGGAGATTAGAATTTCATGAACTTTCCAGCCCAAACTGGCTTTGAACTGAGATCCTCAGATTTCAGCCTCCTAAGCAGCTAGGATTACAGGTGTGAGCCACTGGTACCCAACTAACCTAATTTTAAGGTGACAAAATGACCAAATCCTCATGGTTCTTCTATTTCTCAAAATATATACTGAAAGAAATGCAGCCCATGCTCTTTATGGCCTGAATTCATGTTGAAAGTTAAAAGCAGCAAATGCTATATTATATAAATTATAATAAAAGCAGACTCTATCATATAAATTATACTAAATAAGCATATGCTTGTTTTATCTCTATATTTAGGAATATTGAACAATATCCTTTTTTTTTTTTTTTTGGTCAGTCATGGGGCTTGAACTCTGGGTCTGGGCACTGTCCCTGAACTCTTCAGTTCAAGGCTAGTGCTCTGCCACTTGAGCCACAGAGCCATTTCCAGTTTTCTGGTGGTGAACTGGAGATCAGAATCTCATGGACTTTTCCTGCCCAGGCTGGCTTTGAATGGTGATCCTCAGATCTCAGCCTCCTGAGTAGCTAGGATTACAGGTGTGAGCCACCAGTGCCTGGCTTTGAATAATACCTTAACAATGAGAAAAGTATCAAGAATATTTTACATCTGAAAAATCATTAAGGGGAATACATAATAACATACTAAGGAAATATGATTATTCCTTTTATTTATTTTTTGGTTGGTCATGGGCCTGAACTCTGGGCCTGGGCCCTGTCCCTCAGCTCTTAGCTCAAGACTAGTGCTCTACCACTTGAGCAACAGCACCACTCCTGGCTTTTTCTGCTTATGTGGTGCTGAGGAATCGAACCCAGGGCCTCATGCAGGGCAAGCACTCTACCACGGAGCCACTTACCCAGCCCTCTTAATTTTTTTATTTTAGTTTTTTGCTGGTCTTGGGGCTTGAACTCAGGGCCAGGACCTGTCCCTGAGCTTTTGCAGTTAAGGCTAATACTCTACCACTTTAAGCCACACCACTCTGGTTTTCTGGTAGTTAATTGGAAATAAGAGTCTCAGTCTTGCCTGCATAGGCTGGCTTTGAACCACAATCCTCACATCTCAGCCTCCTGAGTAGCTAAGATTACAGGAGTGAGCTACTGGTTATCCAACTTGATTATTCCCATTTTTAAGATGGGAAAAATTTATCAATGACCTGCTCAACTCACTTAGTTTTTTATTCCATACTCTAGCAGAATTTCTAAAACTATTATACCCATTTCACAATTTTTGCTTCTAATTTTTAAAATATATCTTCTGCTTTTCTGAATAATGTATACAAGACTATCCTCCTTACTAAATATGGAATAGATGAAAATAAACTACATTTACCAACTTAATTGAAGTTCTAAAAGTTCAGATTGTGACGGAGGGGGTGAGGTTAACTGGGATGTAATATATGCATATGGGGAAATGTCAAAGTGAAACCCCCTTTGTACAACTATTGTATGCTAATAAAAAGTGGAAAAAATAGCTGGGTGCTGGTGGCTCACTCCTGTAATCCTAGCTACTCAGGTGGCTGAGATCTGAGGATCACCGTTCAAAGCCAGCCTGGGAAGGAAAGTCCGTGAGACTCTTATCTCCAATTAACCACCAGAAAACTGGAAGTGGTGCTGTGGCTCAAGTGGCAGAGCACTAGCCTTGAGCTAAAGAGCTGAGGGACAGCACCCAGGCCCAGAGTTCAAGTCCCATGACTGAAAAAAATACCTAAACTTTAGAGTATTCTTACAAAAAGGAACTTCTGCTCATCTCCTGAAAATGAACTTTCAAATATGTTACACATAACCAAATACTTCAAATTTCATTAATTTACAGCTGGCTGGATAGACAGAAGGAATTAAGGATACTGTATTAGCATACTGGTGTCACAGATACTGTATTAGCATACTGGTGTCACAGACTGTCATGAGGGGCTGCAGTGAACATGAATAAACAGACTGGAATAAATCTTATTATATACATTTATATCCATATATATAGCAAAGGACAACTAAATATAATGCTGCTACTTCATGGATTTTCACCTATTGGGAGGTCTCTGGATCAGTAACTCCCGTGATAGGTGAGGAATCACTGTATTTACTGTTACAGTATCTCCATTGAGATGAAACTGTAGAAAAAAAGGGGCTGAAAATATATCCTTCTAAACTTGGCCATGTTGCCAGTGTCTGACAACAAAGATGAAAAATCATAGTATTTTAGAAAAGAACCCCACCTTGACTGTTTTATCCATACACTTATCAAAAATAAAAAGCTCTGGGCTGGGAAGGTGGCTCAGCCGTAGAGCGCTTGCCTTGCATGCCTGAGGCCCTGGGTTCCATTCTCAGCACATTAAGCAAAAAGAGAAAAGCCAGAAGTGGCGCTGTGGCTCAAGTGGTAGAGCTCTAGCCTTGATCTGAAGAGCAGAGGGACAGCGCCCAGGCCCAGAGTTCAGGCCCCATGACTGGACTCAAAAAATAACTAAAAACCCTCAACAGGTACCCTCATTCTAAACTGCATTCATATTCATTTCCTGAAGTACATCTCAATCCTCTTTGTAACTTGCAGGTGTTTCCTCAATTCTGTTTTAGAGCATTTTGGGCATACATATTTTATGGTACATTAGATTTCATTAATCCCTTCATAAGCTTTTAACTCTTACTTTGACGTTCCAAAAGAGCAAAGAATATACCTTTCATCTTTCAGGAACTAAGAATACACTATACAATTGCTGCTAATTTAAACAGCAAATAACTAAGTTGCTAAGGCACAATACCAAGACATTTAATGGGGGAAAAATATCAGCTTAATGGGGGAAAAATATGCTTGCAAGACCAGCTGACTCTTGGAAACACTGTACTCTGACAGAAAAGGTACCAGTCACCCTGCACTAGGGTATGTGAATTAAGTGCTAGACTTACAGATCCTTAGGCATTTTAACAATTTTTCTTAAAAAAAAAAACAAAAAACAAAAAACAGAGGTATCCATATGTCATTCAGGACAAACCTAACAGAAATCCCAAAATGCAATGAAAAGTTTTAATAGCTTCTCTTCTGTGCTAAAATAACCTCAAAGTTCACAACTACAGTAAAGCCGGCAGTAATAAAATAAACACCCGCATTAAAAAAAACAAACTTAGTAAATAAACTTATTTATAGATTATAAAAGTTTGTTGAACGGTTATTTGAATTGTTAAAATTTATTAATGACTACAACGTGAGCCTCACCCTATAATGGTTAAGTATTAACAACTTGGGGAAGTAACTTGTATGCGCATTTTGTTACGCCCCACACCAAATCACCTAAAAGTGTATGACTTAAACCTCTTACTAGCCGTTAAAACTGAAAACTTCTGAGCCTGAATGTCCTAAAAGAGGTCAACGTGTTCCACACCTGCCCCAGGAAAAGACACCAGTTTCTCCCGTTCCTTCTGCTCCCTTCAACAATCTCGGGTAACTAAATAGATACTTTGTGTATGCTAATTTTTTTCTAAATGTACGTAAAGGTCCCAGTGTGTCTCAACTCTCTCAGCAACTCTTCCACGGGTGCAACTGATGCGGTTCTGGGCGTGTAAGTCATCAACTGCCAGTGGTGAAGTTTAAGATATCAAAGTCCTACGAAGAACAAACTCTCATCACCAACCCGGAGTTCCAGAAACCCGCAATAAAACAGGAGGCAAGGAAGTTAAAAGTTACTGGAAGTGGTAAGCGCCGGGGGTGGGGTGGGGTCGGTCGCCCGCTCCCTCGGCGCGCGCGGTGCGGGGCTGGGACCGTACCCGCCGCGCTCGCGGACCCGCGCTCACGCACAGCCCGGGGCGTCGGGCCGCGCTTAGCTCCCGTCCCGGGAAAACGGAGCACAACTGATCCTGCTGCCTGGCACAGCAAAAGCGGGCGAGTTTCTGGAACCGGCCCCCCGCCGGGGTCGTGCGCACCCCTGCCGCGGGCGCAAATCCCACCCCGCCCCGGGCGCACCCCCTTCCTCTCGCCTCAACCGGGGACCCCGGCTCTCCCCCGCCCCCCTCCGGGGGGCACCGGGACCGCACGGCCGCACCCACCTTGCACTCGCCGGTCTTCTTTTCCTCTTCACAGAAGTTGACGGGCGCCAGGCCCGGCAGGTAGAAGGCGCGGCCGGGGCGCGGGCCCGGGGCCGCCCCCAGCAGCAGCAGCAGCAGCGCCAGCAGCAACAGCCGCGGCCCCCGAGGTGGCGACGCCGCCGGCAGCCTCGCGCTCATGACGGCGGCTTCGCGGAACGGACACCGAGCCGAGAGGGAGACGAGGAGGAGGAGGGGCGGGGAGGCTCGGAGACCACGACGAGGCCGCGGGAGACGAAGGAGGCCAGACCCACGACGGCTAGTTCCGGTTGCGCTAGGGGACACCGCGGGCCCCGCAACAGACACCGAGCCGGACTTCGAAGGAGCATGCGCGGCGCCGTTCGCACATGCTCAGTGAGGGCGCCGCCAGCGCAGCGCGCAGCTTCCGGGAGGGAGCGGGGCGGAGAGCCACCTTCCGGGTTTTCCGCGCGCCGGCCGGGTGGCTGCTGGGTGGCTTCCGCTTGGCTGTTTGGGCGCTCACACCGGGATTCGAGACTCTCACCGAGACCTTGGTTGGGGCGTTGTGGAGGGTGGTCGCGTCTGTCCAGCTGCTGAGCCTTGCTGTTTGCTGCTGTGTCGTAATAGATCCCCGTGAAGATACGGTTCCCTTTCCACGGCACGCCAGCTTCTATCACAGAACTGGAGCTCCCCAAGTCATTTGGTGATGGAGGCGGAGCTGGGGGCAGGTGTGTGGAGGAGGGGGGCGTAGTTAGGGGACACCAGAGGATAAAGAGGCAAATGAGGGAAGAACTATCCGTAAATCTTCAGACAGCTACTGACAGGTATTTGCAGGAACAATTTCCAAGTATCCAGTACTGTAGTAAATCCTTGTGTGTGACAGTAATCTTGGACACAATAAACATCTCTTTAAGGTTGAGTGGAAACGAGATGGAGAGAATACATAGGAGAATAAAAAGGTAATGTTGAGTTTCTTTGCAACGGGATGCACAGATACACCCAAGTGCTAAAGTGGAAAGTAGTTCTGGAGAAATAGACTAGTATGGTATGACTGGCAAGGAACTGTTCATGGATGAAGTGCTAATTGTGTCCATGTGTGCAAGTGCACATATGAGTATATGTTGCATATCCTGAATATTTTTGAAGAATTATGGCGATAAAATGTCAGTTGACCTTTGGAAGTCAAAGAATACTTAAGTGCATCATCTTAATGCAAAATACTCAGCCTAGGAGTACCTCCAACTCCGAAATAAAAAGGACAATTCAAGATAGGAGGATCATGTTTAAAGGCCATGGGGGAAAGTTAGTGTCAGATGTGGCTCTATGAGGTAACATCTCTGTGTATTTTCCTGAGGGAAGCTTTATAACTTTCACCAAATATCCAAAGAGCTAGCACCCTGCAAAGATGAAAAACTACAGATACATACTGTAGAGTAACCAGAACAAGAAAAAAAATCAGTGGGTTTGTGCAAACAGGGACACCACTGTCTACTTCTGAGACCTTGGTCGTTAATCAAGGGAGAACTGGGACTAAGGAATAAAGCAAGTCCACTCAATTTCCATCTTCCTACAGTGTTGTGAAGATTAAGTGAATAAAATTTATGGAACACATTGTTTGGCCCAGAGGAAGGGTACTCGTCTTTATAACAAAAGTCAATGGAATAGAGCTTGAGCAGAAGGTTTGTCTTCCCTCTGTCCCTCCAATAAATCAACATACTGAAACTTGGACTTGGGCAAAGAATCTGTATTTATAATATTCTGTTGGTACACCGAAGTTAATATGTTTCTCCAAATAGGAAAAGGGAGAAGGAATTGAGTTTGGTTCACCATCTTCTATTTTTCTGATACCTCCAAAACTTAACCATCATTTCACTGCCTCCACCTCAATTCTTCCCCACTTTTTCCTACTTATAAAAATAACACTAGTGTTCTAAGGGAGATGATCCTTCTCCCTTACTCCCCAAGTACTACTTGCTGCCCTCTGAATTCAATCGTCCCCATAGTTTCCACGTTCATAGCTACCAACTAGGCCAAGCCAAAAATCTGAGTTTGCCTGGACCCCGCGGGTTTCCACTCCTGCCTCCCCCTGGGGTCTAACACGCTTCTGCTTTTAACTCTGGCACCCAGCAACATTTCCACGATGTGGACCCATCATGTTTACTCACTGTCCCATTGCCCTGTCTCTGCCCCTACCTCTCCAGAGCCAGGAGAAAGCGGGGAGAAAGTAAACTAGAAGTCACAGCGTGACCCATCCTTGCCAGATGACACGGATGCTAGACGTGGATTTCGAATCGCAGACTTTCTGCACTCAGGTTAAGGCTGAGGTTCATCCAGACGCCTCTCAGAGACCAAGAGGAGCCTGGGCATCCGGAGGTCCGAGGTCTCCAAGCTTCCAGCCGACAACCTCCGCAGCTACCTCAGTATCCTGGGTTCAGTAACAGGAAAAACCCGGAGAAACGCAGCCTCTCCCAGTGAGAAGGACCTCCGGATTCCAGACACTCCGGGCCCGCCAATCGCGCAAGCGCGGGGCCGGCGGGCCGCACCTCGCCAGCTCCTCCTGGGACACGTCACCCAGTACCTCTGCTCCGAGTAGGCGGGGCAGTGGGTGGGGCTTCGTCGCAGGACGGCGTGAAGCCCACTTCCGGATCCGGCCTCTCCTGGGCAACGCCTCTCCTGGAGTTCCCTTGGTTACTACTTGCCGGGGCCTGGTGGAGAGGTTGCCCCGCCCCTCAAGGCCTACCTAGGGTACAGTTGCTTTGTGGCGCTTGTGCTCTGGGACACTGTCCTGCCAATCGGAGGAGCGGAAAAGGGAAGTTTCCCTTGCCTTAGACTCATGACGATGACTGTCCTTTTCTTATAAAGTCCTGATACTTGTGACTGGATTATTTTTTTTTTTTTGGATCCGGTTGTGGGGCTTGAACTCTGGGCCTGGGCGCTGTCCCTCAGCTCTTCAGCTCAAGGCTAGCACTCTACCACTTGAGCCACAGCACCACTTCGGGCTTTTCTCTTTTTGCTTATGTGGTGCTGAGGAATCGAACCCAGGGCCTTGAGCATGCAAGGCAAGCGCTCTACCACTGAGCCACCTTCCCAGCCCCAGTGACTGGATTATTTTTGACTGTACAACTTGAGGGATTTGATTTGCTCTCTCCTTTCCTGCAGAGGGCATTTGCCAATGTGGATTTAAAACTAATAATATGGCGTTTTCACGAAAAACACACACACACACACACACACACACACAAAGTAGAACATAGTTACAGAGAAGCTAGGAGAAGGGTGTTATTTAATGAGTACAGACTTTCAGTATGGCATGGTAGAAAAAGTTGAGATGGGCAGTGTGGTTGTTGTAGAGCAGTGTGAAGATACTTATGTTACTGAGCTGCACACGTGAAAATAATAAAAAATATTCATAGATTTATATTATGTATAGTTTACTGCAATTAAATTTTTTTTGGCAGCTGGAAGTGGTGCTGTGGCTCAACTGGTAGAGCACTAGCCTTGAGCTGAAGAGCTGAGGGACAGTGCCCAGGCCCAGAGTTCAGGCACCATGACTGGCAAAAATAAATAAATAAATAGATAAAGAAATAAATAAAATTTTCTGGCATTAGTTCCATTCCTGCCTCCTAAGACAATTAAAACATCCTAATTTTCTGATTTTCCTACGACTTCTGCATAGGATTGTCATATTTAGCAAATAAAAAATTCCAGATGATCAATGACTATTTAGTATATTAATTCATTACAGTGAATAATCCTTAGAATATTTAGTAGTCTAAGGGACACACATATACATATATATGTGCATATATACATATAATATGGACACCCCACTTTTGTATTGGGTTGAAACTAGAAAAAGTGCTTGTGCTCATAGGAACTGTACATTATACTCTACTGGTTAAATGTTTATAAATGAATAGGCCTTCAAGATTTTCTACAAGAAAAAATATTGCCTATTGTCCTTCATTTTCTGTCACAAAATGTGATCACAAGGGACAAAAAGTTAAGTCATTAGTAAACCTTGAAGGAAACCTATGATAATCTAAATCATGTCATTTGGTATAAATATTATTTTGAATTGAGGACATCTGAGAAATACAGGAAGAGTTCTCTGCCTTCTTCCTTAATTCCTAAAATGGGAAGTAATAAAGTAGGGAATATTTGCAGTCCATGATTAGCTGATTCTATTGTCTCTGGGCCTCTAATGAGGCAAAGCATCCTGCCAGCCAGGTATGAGGCAGAGCTGCGCGCCTCATAACAGCCAGGAAACAAGGGCATGCAGAGAAGAAAGGGCCCAGGACAAGATAGAGCTCCCAAGAACACACCCCAATGACCTCCTTCCTCAACTAGTTCCCACCTCTGAAAGTGTCCCCCTCCAATAATGCCCATCAAATTATAAATCTATCAATGGATTAATCCACAGATTAGGTTAGAGCACTCATGAAGCAGATACTTCTCAATGACTGGATCTACAAGCTAGGGTTCAGGTCTTCAACACAAAACCCTCTTGGAGGTCTTTATATTCAACCATATATTCATATATATGTTAATATATATCAACCATATATATATATATATATATATATATATATATATCAACACTTCAATTCAAACTATAACAGTCTCCAAATAGGACTTGGTTTATGAGCTAAAGGAATTTCAAGTAGAAGAGGGATTATTTGGTTACCAGAACCTGGAAAACTGAAAGCCATAGAAGCAAACCCAAAATGTCACCTACAAAACACAATGGTGACGGGGTGCCAGTGGCTCCTGCTTGTTATCCTAGCTACTCAGGAGACTGAGATCTGAGGATGACTGTTAAAAGCCAACCCCCCAGCAGGAAAGTCTATGAGACTCTTATCTCCAATTAGCAAGCAAAAAAGCTGGAAATGGAGCTGTGGCTCAAGTGGTAGAGCACTAGCCTTGAGCAAAAAGGCTTACAGACAGTGCCCAGGTCCTAAGTTCAAGCCCCAGGGAGTCACACACACACACACACACACACACACACACACTGATGGATCTCTATAATGTAGATGGACACACACACACACACACACACACACTGATGGATCTCTATAATGTAGATGGACATATTCCAACCATAAAAATTCTACTTGGTCTGAATTCCCACTGTTTAAAATTTAGCTTGTCATGTAACTTGCCACACAGGGAAGATATTTGTCCATTGAACTCAAGCAAGTCTACTCTGTGATTATTGTTTTTAAATAACTTTTTAGAGGTATAATTTATATATCATGAGATTCACTCATCTTAGCTGTTTGGCTTGATGATTTTTAGTAAACCTACAAAGTTGCACAGCAATTACTCCAATCCAGGTATGGATACTGTTATTTATGGCCTTTTTTTTAATTATCTGTTGGGGCTTGAAGTCTGGGCCTGGG